CACCTCTAGCAAACATGAGCTTCCTGAAGGGAAAATTATGAGTTTTACACATAGGGATTTCGAAATGACTATCATGCATATACAAATCAAATTTTATATACGAAAGCAGCGGAAGCATTTAACACAAATTATCAAAGCTATAGTCATGCAAATCCCCTTCAAGGTTCATAGGTTTATATATAATGCATCAAAACATTTTAGAGAAGAACAAAGTGAAGGTTTAGTCTTATACCTCTTGATCTAGACTTGAGACCAAGGATGGACCACCTCCAAGCCCTTTGCTCCTTGAACTCCTTGAGCCTAGCCTCCCTCCTTGCCTCCTCCACTTTGTTGGTAAGAGTGCTCCAAGGTTCTCCTTTAGTCTCCAAAGGAGAAGACCTCTAAAGATCCACACCCACTAGTGTAGTGAGATGGATGGAGGAATAACCAAAAGGGTGAAAAATTGTTAGCTAAAACACCCTCAAGGTGGCCGGCCTTTGTGTAGTTTTAGAGAGATATATCTTTTGCCTCTTTGATGTTTTAAACACACAAAAACCCTGAGGAATAAATCTCTATAAAGTTCCTTATATAGACAAAAAGAAACCTAGTCAACAACTTGACTAAATATCTCTCCCAAACCCTTTAAGTGGCTGGGCCTTTAGTGTTTGGTTTGGGCTTTGGGCTTTTATTATTTCAAGTCATCCTATGCTTGAATAAAAGCCCAATGGGCCCAATAAAACCCGAACGTTTCTTTAAGCCCAAAACGATCTTTATCGCTTTTATGATTTCTTTAGACTTTCTAAATTAATCACAATACTTAATTAATCCAATTAATTATTTCTTCATCCATTAATTACTTACTACAATAGTGTGTCGGTGTACAATCATTTTAGGTTCTAATTAGCAAGGCAGTGAGGTGATTGGCATCAATCCAATTGATTATATTTAATTCAATCACTTAGTGAATTAAAACTTCCTTTTAATTCACCTTCTTCTTTGATGACTACATTTAATCATCTAGAAGAACTCACAAGCTATGAGTGACATCTAATCATATGTCATAGCTACCCAAGCTAATGTAGAAGTTGTTCGGAGAACCTATTCAGTTGGAATTACAATGTAATTCGATCCTTCTCTAAAACAATACTCTCAATCACATTACTAGGGTATGGATATATTATGTCAAACCCCTAATGTGATTATTCCTTCTTATATGATTCTATTGAGTCGTATAGGAACGCTTTCCTTTATTACGCTCGATACTTCGGCCGAAGATTCCCGAATCATATCTCAGAGTATTCTTCCTCTCTTATTGAGGATTAGAGATTCCTTGTTGCACATACACTTGCCTTCATGACTAAGTGGCTTAACCCCAATTATGCCGTGGACACCCGCGAATGGGGAGACTTTGACATAATCAAAGATTAAGTACTTAACCACAAGACAACGATGATGCCTCAGGTCAAAGGATTACTTACATTATTCCAACCATTAGAGTTACTTGCTTGACATGTGAGTAGACCTCCATGCAAGTACTCTCGTTCGATTGTGTTCAGTGAACTCATTCCCTTAATGAGCACCTACATACTTGTCTTAGTGTTACCAAACGAATGGGATGAGACTTTCCATCCTTCCAATTGAAGCAGACACAGTATGTACCGGTCTAAGCATTGTCAGTATCCCTCCGACAATCCAATGACCATGAACCTTTTTGAATATTATGGTTATGTGAAGAAGGTCTCTGTAATCTAACATCATTAGATTACTTCTTCAATCGATCCATTGTCCATGGATACACTATTTAGGACATATATCGTTTGTTGAGATAGTCCTAATTAGTATCTTTGCCATTTGATGTATAAGAGTCATCTATACATCGATTCATTTGTCCTGAAAGGTTTCTTCCAAAGATTGACTTTCAGGGCATATTTCCAACACTTCCTCCTCATAGTGATTTGCCAAGCAAAAAACCAACAACCCCAGCCGCTCTAGATCCGAGGTTGAGTAGTATGCCCATGGCCATTACAAAAGGCACTCTTCGACTAAGAACGACTATACCCAGAGGATTGAGATAGTTAATACAATTGACTTATAATCTTTAAAAGATAGCCACGGACCATTACACACTTCAATTAAATGAAAACAAATATCAAACAAGAAAAGCTCTCGTAAGGATCGCTTTTTGGCCTTGATTTTGAACCGTAGTTTCCACTCTATTTTCAACTATATATACAACAAGGACTCGAGCTGGAGAATCTCCCTCCCTGGCTAGGCTACTACTTTTTCTTGTTTGAAATTCCACGTCCGGTTTTCATTGGTATTTGCTTTTTGCTTACCCACTATGGTTTTTTTTTTTTCTTTTTAGCTCTTCTTCCGCCCGGTCGACCTGTCTGAAGTCGATGGTGCATCCAGTAAGCTCTTTCAATTTATCTTAGAAAATGAGGCATTCCAAAATTTTTAGGTGTAGAATCAATGCATTTAGCAGACGGAACAATATTTTATTTTTGCTTAACTTGAAAAACATGCATGAAATTGGAAATGGTTACAGAGTTTTGGTAAGTGGAACTAAATTTTATTGGGCACAAGGTGCACATCAAAGATTGTGATTTGTGGCCATACCCTTCATTTTCTCTTAAGCCAAGCAATGGTTTTGGCAGCAAAACAGTTGCGTGACTTGCGCTGTACTTTGCCAGTCAACCAAATTAGGCTTATTCAGCAGCATCAAATCTGCTGAGGCTACTCACTGAGAGGGATAGCAATGGACCAAGACAAACCTATGAAAATGAAACGGACGCTTACCTCACAAGTTTGATTCTGGAACGATTTTATTGTCACGTGAAATGTACATATCTCACTTTTTGTAAATAACGTATCTTAATTGTTATATTTTATATGAAAATTGTTCAATTTCTCAATTTTCATTTGAAGATCATCCATACAAAAAGTCATTCAAATCGTACATCATTTTGTCATCCAAATGTATCAAATAAATGAACGGTTCATCATGACTATGTTAGATCATCCATACAAAAAATCATTCAAATCATAAATTGTTTTGTCATCCAAATGTATCAAATAAATAAACGGTTTATCATGACTATGTTAGATCATCCATACAAAATGTCATTCAAATCGTAAATCGTTTTGTCATCCAAATATATCAAATAAATGAACGGTTCATCATGACTATGTTGCAAGTAGTCATTCAAATCATAAATCGTTTTGTCATCCAAATATATCAAATAAATGAACGATTCATCTTAACTATGTTAATAGGACTCGCATCGTCGAGTTGCTCGATACATTTGGATCACTAATTGGTTTTTTATTCAAATGATTTTTTTGTTGGACATAATCTTTGAATGAAGATCAATAAGTTGAAACGCTCCAAATCCCGATTTTAAAATTTACACAATAAAAATCTGTTCTTCGAAAATAGTGGGATATGGCCACATGGGGCTGTTGCATTATATATATTTTTTAACATATGATATTATCTACACTAAGTGGTGAGGGATTAGTTTAAGTCTCACAATGGGCAGCCATAATAATGTAATTCAAATTCGTTTTTTACGAGAATCAAACCTAAAATCTCTCACTTAAAGATGAATAATACTAGAACGTAATACTAATGAAAGGGGCTGTTGCATTATTAAACCGTGACAATATCCCTTTCGATTTCAACAAGAAGGGAAAATGTAAAGCCTTTTTACCAGAAAACAGAATGCTAAAAACCTAAATAACAACATCAACTAACTATACTTCTATTGGAAAAACAACACCTATGCTTTTCATTCCTCGTCTCTTCATTTTCTATCCCTTTAACAAAATCCGAAAAAGTTCAGTTCTTTCTTTTCTTAAGATTGTACTTTTGTGTTACACAAGTTAATTCCTTCAACAGCATAAAGAAATCCTTCTTGTGTAACATGAATATTACGCATGGGCAATGAATGCGTGGTGCTCAAGTTTACTTGTTTATATTCATGTTGGGCTTATTTATACTATTCATACACATTTCGAGTTTTGTAACTAAGGTTTTAAAAAATGTTAGGTTTTAGTGGGGTAGAGTGGAGCTTAACGCCTAGGCAGGGTCTAGCGCCTAGATAGGGCCTAGGCGAGAATCTAAGTGGATTAGACGGATTTAAAAGTAAACGTATTATATATCGCATAAATAAGTATTTGTTTATACTTAAAAATTACATAATTGACTTGGCATACATACATTCAAAAATTGAATGACATATTAGAAAATATTAGAATATATTGAAAACAAGGGGAACCAGGATATAATGAGTTCATCTGACTATTCAACAAATCTCTTATAATTTATTAAAAAAAACTGCAAAAAAAGAAAGTTATCTATTTTTTGTCTATGTGAGAGTCGCGACCTAAGTAAGTGTCTAGACGGTCGCCCTCTCTTAATTTTGAAAGTTCTAGGGATTAATTGGGATAGTAGCTAGCTGCCTAGCGCCTAAGCGGAACCTATGCGACGTTAGACGAAAATTTTTAGAACAATGCTGGTAACATGTCATATCTGAAATTACGTATCTATGTATTATACCTGACTAATGAAATTAGTTGGTGGCGACTTAATTTAGCTGTTGAACCAATATCCGAAATTATAATTGCTCAGAATTAATACTTAGTTCTGAAGTTGTAATAATTTGTATATATATATGTTACAATTATCCCACAATTGTCATCATTATGTTTGTTGGTGACTGTTATAATACCAGTTAAACTTCCATATCGTGCTCATGAAAAATATGAACTCTGCCCATAATAACAACAGATTAATGCTAATTACTATCAAAAATAGATTTCAAGTTTTATAATCCCAACCAATGCAACCGTGTTGAAAGAGTTCTAAATTCGAAGTTACCTTCACCATTTATACAAAAGAGAATAGTAATGTTGTTATCTCCCGAGCAAAATAATTTAACAAAATCATGCAATAAAAACCCATTAATTACATTAGTAAAACAGTAAAAAATATGAACATGACAGTAATCACAGATGAATTAAAACCGAAAACTGGTTAATTAGGCATTTATCAACTCAATTTTTCCATAAATCACACCCACAATATCAAAAACCCAAAACAAAAAAAAAAGAAAAAATTGAATTGATAAATGCAAGAACAAGGTGTGATAAAAAAAAAACACAAATAAATAGAAAAAGGGACAAATTCTTTAAAAAAGGACATTGTATTTTTACAGTTTATAGATGATAAGAAAGCACGGCAACACGGCGCGTGAATCAAACACCAGCAATTCGCCGCTGTCTCCGCTCACCGAGTCGAACTCGACCCGGCCATCCAACAACGACTCCAACTCCAACTGCTTCGAAACCCGACCCGCAATGACCCGGCAAACCAGCATCGCCCTCCGTCCCCTGGCCCCACCAGCACCTGCGCTCTCGTGGGCCATGCCGCTACCGGAAAAATTGCAAATCGCTTTTCCCTTTCCGCCGTGAAACCCCCACATTCCCCTGCAAGCGTCATACACCCCAACGCCGGAGCTGGCGGGACCGAGGCAGTGGAACCGCATGACCTCGTTTCCGTCCGCGACGCACCGCGCATTCTCCTCCTCGCACTGGGCCCCGCCTGTGGACGCGGCCCGGGACCGCGCCTTCACAACCTCCCTGTACTCCTCGAACCGGGCAACGGTCTTGGACCCGTTCTGGACTTTAAAAATCATCTCGATCCGACCCGAAAAGGCCTTCGGTCCCCAGCTGGTGTGGAAGATAATCTCGACGACATTGCGCGAGGGGTGGTCCTCCGGGAGCTCCGTCAATGACGGCAAGAAAGGGTCGTGGGGTCGCGGCTGACGGGTTCGGACTGGTTGGGTCGGGCTCGAACTGGGCTCGGGTTTTGTGGGTCGACCCAGGTGTTTGGGTTTGGACCGCTTGGGCGGCGGACCAGGCGGCGGCGACGGCTTTGGTTTTCTTGGTTTTGTAGAGTCCATGACGTCCTTGATGTTTTGAACGCTCTTTCTGCAACTCGTGCTGTTCATCAGATTTTTCGGGTTCGGATGGTAAACGTCTTCGAACGCTCTCGACTTGCATTGCAGCGACTTCACCCACCCACTCGCCATTGACGGACCTCTCAAAACGAAACCGTATCTCACCACACCTTCCACTTCTCTCCGAGCGGGTTTTTTTGGGGAGAAAAGAAAAGAAAGAATTTTGCAGAGAGAGAGAGAGAGAGAGAGATGGCGCGTTTATTAAATGGGGGGTTTCCAACTTTCAATAGGTGAGGGTTGCGGAATTACGGAAATGCCCTTCTGAGGAATTTGGAATTACCCACTTGGATTTCTGTCTCTTTCTTTTCATGGGAAGGGGGGAGAGGAGGGGGGAGGCATGTTGATGAAAAGAAACAAATTTCATCATTAATTTGGGTTTTAATTTGTCGGGACAAGAGAGAGACAGAGAGTGTCTGGTTGTGGTATTGGGATTTTATATGGAATTGCACTTGAAATTGATGGAGTTAAATATTGTTTTTTTTTTTTTTTTTCAATAATATTGTTGTTACTGAAATTTGAACTCAAAATATGTTTCAATAGTCTTATATATTAATACTTAATTATTTTAATTTAGTTGGAGATAAAATTCGTTCGTCATATTTGTGTGTTGTTTTTGTTTATCATAATTTCAATTTTATTCATGGTTTGATGATCATATTTAGTTTTAGAGACACAATAAGAAGACTCTTTTTGACACATCCCAACCGAAATCAAGGCATGTTGGCCGTCACGTGAGGGTAACGTAGTCATGTGCACAGTGCGGAAACGATAAAGATAAGAGTTATACGAATGAATAAAAACCGAAAGCTACTAAAATGCACTAATAAACAGTAAGTGCTAGGAGTGAAATATAAGTGTAAATACTCATATTCAGAGCATAGAAAATCTAGATGCAGTCCAGTATGACAAGTACTAATTATACAGCACCATAAGATGTCCTACAATTATTTTAATATGTCAGAACCGCCAAAGTTCTCAAGGCCACCAACAACAAGCTTATCTAAAACTTGGAGGGGCGCAAAACAGAAAGTGTGAGTGGGCAAAAACAAATGTTTTACAAAACCATTTCAGTTCTCAAAGTTCTAACCCTTCGCCGTAAAGCATGTATAATTTTTCCAGAAGTGGAATATAAACATATGCATAAATATATATGTAAATATAACAATTCAAATCATGCTTCACATATTCATAATTATAAATATGCCATGCCAAGATATAACAGAGTAAGTAATTCAGGTGTGAATAAATTCATGGGAATATATCATGTTAGTCGGAACCCCTATGGAAGTCTGTACGGCTGAATTCATAGCTCAATAGTCAAATCTAGCCGGAGTCACTACGATGACCTATACGGCACTCTACTGCACACGAGTCGGAACCAAATGAAAAGGTATGTACGACAATACTGGCTGTAATATAATTATGCTCAATATTACTCTCTCATAATAGCTGGGCGATAAATCGCTAGTAACCTACGAGTCGGAACCATAGTAAAGGTCTGTATGACAGGACTATGCACCTAAATTGGATCCAATATGAGCATATGGTGCGGGAGGTGCCATTGTACTAACAGGCATGTGCCGTATTTTTGGCTAAATCACAGTCACCCTAGGTGCATTTTTATGAGCTCAACGTTATTCAATCATATGCCATTAATCATTAATTCTCATCACAAAACATAACTCGCCTGTTACTTACCTGAGCATCCACAACACCACAATTATATATAAGCATCATATACTAATTCATTTACGAAATATAAATTTAGATGCATGGCATTCAAGGCATACTTTCATTTAAACGCATTTTTTGGGAAAATATCAAGTATATAATTATATATTGAAAAACAAAAGCCCACTTACTGATATGTCGAAGGGTCGTAACCCCCGAGTCGCCCTTGACTGCGCTCGTCCTCGGGATAAGTCTCACATGTATGCGAATTAACTGAATAAACATTAATTCAAAGCACATAACCAAAACTAGCTAATAACTTCTCATACAATGCTCAAATTGGGTGTTTGAATATACCAACGTGATCTACACAACTCCACAAACATCCTCATATTTTTAGAAAAATTTTCCGACCACCCACGCGCCGCCCATGCGTGGGCATGTGCCAGGCAAACTGACGGTAACCCTAACAGTGTTAGGGAATATTCCGTTAAAAATGTAGCATATACCGTTAATTATTAAAGACGCCATCGAACGCCGTTAGCATATCCCGTCAGTTTTGACGGAATATAGCTTCATCTTCTCCAACGAGTCGCCGGACGCCGGTGACTTCACCGGTTTCTGGGTTAATTTTCAAAACCTTATATCTTTCTCATTTTAACACCAAACTTCATGAAACTTGAACCATTTTAAAGATCTCACCAAGACGAATCAAACCATACCTGAGTCGAGCCCTGAAACCACCAGAAAAAGCCTCGATACTCTGGCCAAACTTAAAACTCGTCGTTTTTGCTATTCCGATGTCCAAAATCTTCCTACGAACCACTCCTAGCCTCGTGAGGACCTCCTTAAGCTACCTATAAGCTTGAAATCCCCAAAAACATGAGATTTTACGTTTGCATGAATAGTACCTCAAATCGGAGGTTATGGTTTCTTGGGTTTTTCAAGGTTTCAAGTTCTAAAAATGACATATACGATCTCAAGGACATGCAAGGAGTTCGAATCTTACCTTCTTCATGTCGATCCATGCTTGAAGTGTGAGTTTGGCGTTCGTCCGTAAATGAGGAAAGGAGAGAGAGAGTGAGTCTAAGGGAGAGAGCACGAAAGAGAAGAGAGAATGAGAGTTTGTGTGTGTGTGTGTGGTCCACGTGGGTCACCAACCAAAGCCACACAAATTCCTTTCTAATTTTTTCCAAAAATTAGGAAAAATGAAAGTTTGAACCCCTATGTACATGCATAACACACCACAACGTTCACATCCAAGGGTAAAATAGTCAATTCACGTCATCTATAATTTATTTCGGGATGGGCTGTGACAATCTACCCACATTATAAAATTTTGTCCTCGAAATTTACTTACAACCAATACATCCACTAATAATCATAAAATAGACGTGGATACATCTCTCTCATTCGGTCCTCTATCTCCCAAGTAGCTTCTTCCACTGAATAATTTCTCCATAATACTTTCACCAAATGCACGGTCTTATTCCTTAGTTCCTTATCCTTCCAATCCAAAAGTGTCATTGGTTTCTTAAGTCAAATTCAGATTAATTTCCAAAGGTTGAGGAGGAATCACATGTGAAGGGTTTGTAACATAATGACAAAGCATCGAAACATGAAACACATTGTGTACCTTGGACAACTTTGAAGGCAACTCAAGCCTGTAAGCAACCTCACTGACTCGTTCAATGATCATATATGGTCCAATGTACCTAGGACTCAACTTGCCTTTCTTTCCAAATTGTACAACACCTTTCCAAGGTGATAACTTCAGAAATACCAAATCACCTACATTATACTTCCGGTCAGTGGCATGCTTGTCTACTAAGCTCTTTTGTCGATCCTGGGCCGCTTTCAGGTTAGACTTAATTACCTGAACATTTTGAGTAGTCTCATCCACAATCTCAGGGCCCACTAAAACTCTTTCGCCAACCTCTGACCAACATAAAGGTGTATGACAAGATTTCCCATAAAGTGTCTCAAATGGTGCCATACCAATACTCAAATGGTAACTATTGTTGTAGGCGAACTCTATCAAAACCAAACAATCATGCCAACTATCGCCAAACTAAAGTACTGAAGATCTCAGCATATCTTCTAATGTCTGAATAGTCCTCTCAGATTGTCCATTTGTCTGAGGGTGATATGTTGTACTATAAAGTAATCTCGTACTAAGAGCTTTCTGAAATGCTACCCAGAACTTGGAAGTAAATCTAGGGTCCTGATCCGAGATAATGTTAACTGGAACGCCATGGTACTTCACAATCTTCAATAGGAATAACTTAGCTAATCGGCTTAACGAATATTTTCCCCCACTGGAATAAAATGTGCTGACTTATTAAGCCGATCAACTATCACCCAAATACCGTCATAACCATTCTGTGTACGAGGAAACTTGTACACAAAATCCATAGTGATATTTTCCCACTTCCACTATGGAATGGGAAGCTGAATCAACCCAAACGGTTTCTTCCATTCAGCTTTAATCTGTTGACAAATGGCACACCTACTCACATATTTGGCAATTTCCCTTTTCATACCCGGCCAATAATAAAATGGTCAAATGGTATGATACATCTTGGTGCATCTTGGATGCATTGCATATGTCGAAATATGTGCTTCATCGAAGATTTCTTTCTTTAACTCTGCATTATTCGGCACATACATTCTGCTTTCTTGCATAAGCATACCATCAGTTTCTCGAATCCTGAAATCTTTCTTCTTGCCTTGATTCCTTGCTTGAATTATTTCCTGGGTCTCTTCATCATTCATCTAGGCCTCAAGCACATGATTAATTAAAATTGGCCTAACTTGAAAATTTTCGATCTTCCACTCCTAACTCCACTCCAGTGGACCTCAAATCCGCTAGAAGAGAAACATAGCAATCATAGATGGCATTGAGTCTAGCTGGAGTCTTCCTACTAAGTGCGTCCACCACTGCATTTGCACGACGAGGGTGATACTTAATTGTGCAATCATAATCACTAAGTAACTCAATCCACCTCCGCTGCCGAAGATTAAGATCTCTTTGAGTAAATAGGTACTAAAGACTCTTATGATCTGTGAAGATCTTACATTTCTCACCATAAAGATAATGTCTCCAAATCTTCAAAGCAAAGATAATAGCCGCTAACTCCAGGTCATGAGTAGGGTAATTCTTCTCATGAGGTTTCAATTGTCTTGAAGCATAAGCAATCACCCTACCATGTTGCATCAATACACAACCCAGGCCATTCAAAGAAGCATCATTGTAAACTTCATAATTACCACTATCATCTGCGAGTGTTAAAACAAGTGCATGAGTGAGATAATACTTCAACTACTAAAAACTTTGCTCACAATTATCATCCCACTCAAAATTAACGTCCTTTTGGGTTAACCTCGTCAATGGCAAAGCAATCATTGAAAAATCCTTAACGAACCGTCTATAATAGCCTGCTATGCCAAGAAAACTCCATACCTCGGTGACGATTCGAGGTTGTTCCCAATTCTCCACAGCTGCCACTTTTTGAGAATCCAC